CAGGTCCCTGGATGGGGGTGTGTGAGAGGCAACTATACACTGATGTTTCTCTTCCTCTCTTTTTCCTTCCCTTCCCCTCTCTCTAAAAATAAATTTTAAAAATCTTTTAAAAAAAAGAAAATGGAGTAACCAAAGAACTTATATGCTTGACCCATGGACATGAACAATGGTGTGGGGATTGCCTGAGCGAGTGGAGGGTGCTGGGTGGAGGGGGGGAAAGGGGGGAAGTTAAGGCAACTGCAATAGCATAATCAATAACATATATTAAAAAAGAACATTCTCTATTTGTGCTATCAATACAGTAGCCAGGAGAAATACGTGGCTTGAACACTTGACATGTGGCGAGAATGACCGAAGCACTGGATTTTACTCAGTGCTTTTTAAAAGCTCCCCAGGTGATTGTATGTGCAGCCAGAGTTGAGACCTACTGCTCTAGTCACCCACCTAGATACCTTCCTCCAGACCCATGGCTTTAATTTCCTATGTACACTCTAATGTATAAACTAGCACAAATCATCTCCTCTTAACTCCAAGCAATATATCCAACTGCCTACTTGGCATCTCCTCTGGAGCACCCCAAATTCAGGATGTCTGAAATGGAACTCATGATGGCCCTTCCTGAACCCCATCCACTCTCAGTGTTTTCCACTGAGCTCGTGGCCCATCATTCATCCAGTTTTATAAGCCAGAAACCTAACAGCCCATTCAACATCATCATATTTCATCATATTTACCCATGTTTTCTTGTGAACGTCTCTTCAGTTTGCTTATTTCTCTCCCTCTTACCAATGTTATAGTCCAGCATCCCATCCACCTTTTGCTTGACAACTGAAGTTGCCTCCTGGCTGGTCCCTCTGCTCCCACTCTTGCCCCTTACAATTCTGAAAAGGCAACTAGGATGTCCCTCCCCCGAATAAGACTCTGCAATGTGTCCCTTCTGAATTTTCTCCCAACACTGACAGACAGCCCTGCATCGTCTGGCCTGCTGACGCTTCCCACCTCATCTACCACAACACTCCCCTCCCTCTCTATTCCAGTCCCACTGGTCTTCTGAAAGTTCCTCATCCTCCTCCCAAGCCCAGACCTTCTTATATGCAGTTCCCTCCATGTGGCCCACTCCTCCCTTCTCTCTTGGCCTTGTCAACCTTCAGGGCTCAGCCCTGCATTTCTTCCTCAGGAAGCTTTCCTGCCCAGGTCAGGTCCCACTACCATGTGACATCACAGAACCATGCAACCCTCATTTGCAGCATTTGTAACATTTTGTAATCATAGATTTACTTGTGAGATGTCATTACTATCTTATCCACACTCTGTCTTGCCCACTTGCCTGTAAAGTCCGTGGTGGCAGCATGGCACCTGTGTTTATTTCTTGGCTGCATCTGTGCTCAATAAATATTTACTGACTATATGATTGAATGAAAAGTTCAATTTAAGCCCAAGACTACCTTCAGAGCTGAAACAAAGGATAAAACCAAGGTCAGGGTTAGGACCCGGGGTGTCTGGGACTGGAAGATGGTTAGGAACAGCAGCTGGGGGAGAGTGCCAGCCAGGTGCGGATCCTGGAAGACCCAGACGGTACAAACACTTTGGAAAACTGTTTGGCAGACTCTACAGACACTATATGCAAATGCTATGACCCAGCAATTCCACTCCAAGGAAACACTGACCATAACAGTACTACTCATAATGGCCTCAAACTGGGAACTACCCGAATGTCTCACATCAGTGGACTGGATTACATAAAGTGGATTATTCGCACAGTGGAATGAAATGAAGCAATGAGACTACCACAGCTGTATGCATCCACATAGATGGAGCTCATTAATATAGGACTGACAACACGCAGTCAGACACAAATGAGAACATGCTGAAAAATTCTATTTATGTGAAGTTTGAGGAGCGACAACACTAAACTGCAGTGTTACAAGTGAGAAGTACAAATTACAAGTCTCTGGGGCATGGTGGGGAAATTCTGGGGTGCTAAGAATGTCCTATTTTGTCTTGACCTGAGTGGCTCAGTTCGATGGGCATTGTTCTACAAAGCAGAAGCTCGAGTCTATTTCCAGTCAGGGCACATGGCTGGGCTGCAGGTTCGCTGGGTCCAGTCAGAGCAGGTAACTGATTCATGTTTCTCTCCCTCTCTTTCTCCTTCCTCTCTTTCTCAAAATAAATAAAATCTTTAAAAAACAAAAAGAATGTCTTATGCCTGGATCAAGGTGTTGGCTACCCAATTGTGTCTGTTTGTGGAATTCACTGAGGCGAGCACTGAGGAGCACAGGGAAAGGTTTGGAGGCAAGACGGTGGTTGCTCAGGGTGAGCCAGGAGAGGGCCCTGGAAAATGGGAGTGTGCAGGGGGTGGCCCAAGTTCCACTCAGGACAAGGGTTAAAGAGAGGTGTGGACTGTGGCTCTTCTAGACCTGAGAGGCTGGAGAAACAAGGGCAGGGGGAGGGGTGGAAACGCTGACTGGAGAGGAGGGCGGTGCGCAGTGCCTGCACCCTTCTCCCACACGCACACATCTACCGGCTTCCTGCTCTTAAACTTCTCCTCTAGGTCTGAGGAAAAGGAGTGTTACAGGAATGAAATAAAGCAATGAGACCACTGGCCACCTCACAGGGCCACCAGCCCACAAAAGATGAAAGGGAGCCGGGCAACAGACGGAACATTTGCGCACTGAGAGCACGCTGCCCGAGAAAGCCCAGGCAGAGGCCTGGCACGCAGAGAGCTGCCCTTCCTTGGGCCCTGCATCCTGTCTCTCAGCTTGGGTGTAGCCTTGGTAGGAGGCGAGTACCTACCATCAAATCTTGTCACCCTGGCTGGTGTAGCTCAGTGGATTGAGTGCGGGCTGCGAGCCACAGGGTCCCCAGTTCAATTCCCAATCAGGGCACATGCCTGGGTTGCGGGCCAGGTCCCCAGTGGGGGCCACATGAGAGGCAACCACACATTGATGTTTCTCTTTCTCCCTCCCTTCCCATCTCTCTGAGAATAAATAAAATCTTAAAAAAAAAATCCTGTCACCCTGTGTCTAAGGCCATGAAAATCACAGGGTGGGTGCAGGCACACAATATACATGCACTTGTGTACTCATCCACAAATACAAAAATAGCCTGCATCTTTGCACACACATGCAATCTGCCCTTCATGGTCCTCCATGCTCAGAGCACTGATTTCTCCTTGGCTCAGAAGGTAGCTGTGTGAGTCAAAGAACTGAGCTGGATTGAGGAGAACCAAACGGGAGGCCCTTCTTGAGGGGGAACAAGGCTACCAGGGGCCCGCTCCTCTGGAGGCCTTTGGGAGTTGTCGGGTACCCTCCCCGCAAATGGATCTCATGTCTTTCCCTGTAGTTGGAAAGCAGAGAGGCTGGTCTCCTCCTCACAGGAGCAGCCCCCACCGGCCACACCTCCAGAGCCTCCTTCCCAACCTCTCCTGCCCTATCACCACCACCCTCCAGTCCCTACTTCCGGCTCCTGGGAGTTCTCCTCTTCTCTCAGCACTAGAAAAGCAAGGAGTATTTAGTGTCCATTGTGTTTCCACCTTCATGCCCCAATTGCACTGCTGGGGAGGGGGACGTGGCTTCTCCCTCTTGGTATCCTCCCTACGGCTGGAGGGCTGGCAGGGGTTGGGGCATGTTCCTAAGCCGTGACTCAGTGTGCAGGGTATTCACGTTGTGGCCAACTCTGACACTCCACTCACCAGGGACTGTAGCTCCCCAGAGGTGGGGAGAGGCTGGCTTCCATGAAGGATGTTCCATGAGAGATGCCCCCGTACCTCCCTTTCCCACTCATGCCACATGAGGGGTGGAGGTAGAAGGATTCCAGGAACGTGAGGGATAGGAGGGAGATGAAGGGGATTCAAATATCGAGTTGGAACCAGCTGGCAAAAAGGTGCCAGGCAGGGCCATGTTGGGGGATCCGATGTCCCATATTCTGGGGAGCTAATTGGCCAGCAAATGGAAACATTAAGAGACAGGATTTCCAAACCACCCCCAACCCCCAGAGCAGGGACTGTGAGAGACAGGAAAGCAGGTTTGGTCCTGCACTGAGTGACCAGGACTCAAGGGCAAGGAAGTTTGAGGAATTGAGGTGCTAGGTCCCCAGGAATTTGGAGGCTGGACTGGGGAGGAGGGGAAGAGGCTGGGGATCTGGGCAGTGGGCAGAGACTGAAAAAGGACAGACAGCAGCTGCGGTGTTTGGTGTTTCCGAGTCGCTTCCCAGTAATTCCTCAGTTCATTTCCAGTTGTTTCCAAGCCATGAAATTCTTTCCAGGCAAGATAAGGGGCCCGCCCGCCCCACCCGGGGTGTGTCACGTGTATGGGGGGAGGGAGGTTCAGAGAGACAGACGCAGGGGAGCCTGGAAGGGGATCGTGCCCCTAGAGGCATCTCTCAGTCATCCCAGCCCAGCTGAACCATGAGTCATGGGTGCAGAGTTCTCGGCCAAAAACAAGTTTTAGGATCCTCTCTGCAGGCTCTCTGCCCGTCTCAGACCTGGGAATCCCGACTCTGCTCCATTCTAGCATTTCCTAAAGGCTCAAGACCCCCAGCCCTGCCCTCCCTCCCAGGCCCTGCCACCCAGGTGCTATCACCTGGCAGTCGCCATCTGGATAACCAAAGAAGCTTTCTCTGGCACCTTCCTGAGCTCTGTCTGGCTCGGCTGCTCTAGGCAGAGCACTTGGGGTTCCACCAGCTTAGCCAGCCTCTGCTTTCCTCCAGCACCTCTGGGGCCCAGACCGTATTTAACCGATAACCACCTTCGCCCAGATGCTACCACTCGATCCGGTCCACCCCTCCACCCGGGCGCTAACCTTCCTCGCAGGTGTTCCCTCCCCAGGGAGTGCAGCCCCCAGTGCACAGTCCTATTTCCACTGAACCAACAGAAAGTCCCTGCTGGGGGGGGAGGGTCCCTCGAGAGTGACTGTGCCAAACTTTGCCTGGGGTGTAGAGATAGGAGAGAGCCCCATGTCGCCCGACTCTTCCCTTGGTCTCCCCAGAACTCTGTTCCTTACCTGGGCAACGAGCAGCTGCAGTGCCTATGCACCTGTTCTGTCCCCAGCCTCAGGAGGTGGGCCCTCAGGGCAGGGCAGGGTGGGCTCCCCTTTGGCAGCCTGGCTCCCCTTGGCTGCCCTGAGCTCCTGGGTGTCCCTTGCTTGTTCCCTGCAGTGGGGCTCACTGAGCCACAGCCCGTCTATCTAGGCAGCCAACAGTGAGGAGGAGGGAGGCTGTAGCGAGCAGGGGGAGGAGAAGGGGAGGACCAGTTATGAGGTCAGGGAGGGGAGCGGAGATACAGCAGGTCCTCCCACCCCTCCAGGCCCTCCAAAGTCATCACATGCCCCTCCTCTCCTCCCGACTCACCACTGAACCCCTCTGTCTGGGATCACGGAGTCCAACACCCTCATCTTGCCCCCTCCATCCCTGTTCCTACCTCCTTCATCTCTTCCCCATCCCATTCTTACTTTTCTTCCCCAGCCTAATTTTTGCCTAAGTTGACATCCTCCCCACGCTTGTGCTCTCCCACCCGCCCCACCCATTTCTCCACCTATTGCTCCTGCTCTCTCCTACCAATGACCTTCCCCACAGACAGCCCCTCTCTTCCTTCCCTGCACCCCCCCATCTCTGCCCAGCTGCCACACTGCTCCCCATCTGTGTGGTGCTAGCACCGCTCCTGTCCCGCACCAATTCTCTCCTGGGGACATGGGGCAGGAGGAAACTTCCCTCCCCAGCGTGGAGCCTTCTCAGGGACTACTTGTCCCCACCCTGCCCATTGTTCCCACCTGCATCCTGCCTGGTGGAAGGTGGTCTCCCTTCTGTGCTCCCCTGCCCTGCGCTGCCTTTCCTGCCTGCCTTGCTCAATCCACCTCTTCTCCGATCAGATCACTGCCCCTCCCCTTTTACTCTCCACTTCAACAAATTTCTAGACTAATGGCAGATGAGGCTTGGGCACTGGCTGAACACCAGGACGTACAAGATTTCCTAAGGCAGTTGGGGTTCAGGAAAGACAGGGAAGAGAAGCCTGAAAGTTAGAAGGAAGGTTTATGGAGAGCCAGAGGCAGGTATGAGGAAAAAGCAGAAGGGTCCAATGTCTGGCGGCTACAGGGAAGGAAAAGCAAGATAGGGTGAGTTGGGGGCTGGAGAAGGGTACTTGGATGTCAGGCAGAGATTCGAAGACCAATACTAGAGGGTGGGCATCAGACACACATCGGGCCCCTGGCTGTCTCTCTGGCCTCCTTTTCCCACGTGCTCGTTGCCCTGATGAGGGGCTACAGCGGAGACTTGACGCAGGAGAGCCAGGCTGAGGGAAACGCCACACCAGGTTTCAGTGAGAAGAGTTCTCCTGCCCCGTTACACAGCTCACTGCTGAGCACACTGCCAAAATCACAAGTGAAAGGGACACACAGGAGCCTGTGTGTGCCTGATTCTGCCACTGGGGTTGGGGCACAGCTGTCCATAGCCTGGTTACAGGTGTGTGGTGTTCCTGGGTCAGGGCACACTGAGCTCGAACGGGTGACCGGTGAACTCCCTGGGGCTGGGGACAGGCTCGGATGGGCTCTCACAAGGGTGTCTTGGTGTTTTGGGTTTTTTTCCTGGCTTTGATGGGGAAAACGAAGTCAGAATCTTGGATGGAGCTGGGCGCAGCTTCCTTCCGCTGCCTTGGCCCGAAGCCCCCACAGCTTCCCGGAGATCTCTGGGCCGCGTAGGGGAAAGCAGAGCCAGGGTGAGGTTCGAAGCAGCACAACAGGGAGAGGCAGCTGCACAGAGGACGGTTCTCTCCAATACCCCGATCTCAGTAATTCTGTCCCATGGTCCTACCCATGTTTTTGGTTCTGTGCTGCATATTTTGGTTTTATTATTTGGGAAGTATGGCCACCATAAGTATAGTTGCCCAGAGAAAGGCCAAGAGACCCTGGAGAGGAGCAGGAGCTAGAAGGATGGTCCTGGGGTGTCCTGGAAGTCCACTGTTGAGCACAGATGGGATGCCGGCCATCTCAGAGAGGAGTGCAGGATTCTAGGCATGCACAAGCTTACGAGGCATTTGAGAAAGCCACTGGAAGCTTGACAGACATAATTCCAGGCTCTGAGATAATCGCTGCGTAAAATTTGATTCCCCTGGATTTGAAACCCAGGGGGATAAAAATTTCAAGGCCCCTGAATTTCAGGCTTGTCTCCCCAGGAATTCATGTCTCAAACGGTTGCATCTCATAGGGAAAGCACCAGGTCTTCCTGCACAGGGCAGGGGCCTGGTAAGTGCTCCTCAATTCAGAATCCTCAGGCATGCTCTCCCCGCCCCCCACCCCCTGCCCCAGGGGGCCGCCTGAGCCTTCCCCACCCCTCTTGCCTTCCCTCCTGGCACACAGCCTCTGCCTTTCTCCTAAGTTCCCAGTGCCCTTCTTCTGCTTCTTTGTTTCCTGAGCCCACACAGCCGGCTCACTTCTACCTCTGTAACTTTCTAATACACTTTCTCTTATTAAAAAAATAAACAAACAAAAACAAACCACTGAATTGGGAAAGGACTGGGAAAGAAAGATGGGGAGTGCCTGGTAGGGAACCCCGGGTGTGGGGGCAGGGATGCCCAGTGGTCAGAACAGGGTTGTGTCCTCTGAGGGGTTCCGGACGACAGGCTTAGAAAGGGGGTGCTGTCAAGAACTGTCCACATGCTCTGGCTGTGCTCTGCACCCTCAGTCCAGGTGTGTCTTCAGCTCGGAGCTTCCATCCTTGGACGAACCTCCAAGTTCCTGTCCTGACCTCAAGAGGATAAGGGACAGAAGACACAGACAGGAAGGAAAGGGAAAGACAGGGAGAAGGGAAAAAAGACAAAAAGTAAGGGCAAATTAAGGGCAAGGACCTGAAAAATGAGGAGGGAAGGAAGACTGACCAGGAGCTGTGACCCAAGGAAGCAGTCCCAGAGGGCGAAGACAGAGAGCATTTGTCCAGGAGCCTCCTACAAAGGAGGCGGCTCCCTGCAGTGTGGGCACCTGGTTAAACGAAGGCTCAGAGACAGCGACTTCCCAGGGACCTGGCTAGTGGTGGCGCAGGCAGGCCTGGACCCAGGCTCTCCGATCCCAAAGCCTGTGGCTCCCTCCCCGAAGAGGAACCCTGGGATGACTGAAGACTTGGAGGCACACGCAGATAAAGGGGGTCCTGGAAGGACTTGTCTGAGAAGGAAGGGCGGACGATCTGGATTTTTAAAACGTCTTTCTGTATTGTTAGTATATCGATTCAGTGAGAAGAAACTGCCAAGTATGAGACAGGGGGGTCAACATTTCACTGAGATTTGGGGCTGGGAGATGGAGAGGAAAGGGAACATGGGGAGAAAAAACTGACTGAGATGAAGATGGGAAAGAACTAAGAGACTCGGGCTGAATGGAGCCAAGAGCCACAGGGAGAAAGATTTGGACCCTCAGAACTTCCTTTGCCTGCAGACATGGGTGTGGGGAGAAGGGAGGAGGAAGGACATTTCTATCTCATGACAAAAGAAAGTCACACAATTGTTTTGTTCTCTGCTCTGGGGCGGGCAGGCGCCCATATTTACCAGAGGGACTGAGGTCGCTGTGGCAACCCCACATCTGGGCCCCGGAATCCAGATGTGCTGTATCCAGAAGCCATAGCGCAACGATGAGGCAAACATTAGGCTCTCAAATGCTGGCCCCCGCAGCTGGAGAGCACAGAGGGCTGGAGCGGGAAGTGAGGGGGGAAAGACTGAAGCGGGAGAAGAGAGGAAGTCACGGACAGGGACAAGGAATGTGGACAAAGCAGTGGAAAGGGAAATGGGGGCAGGGGGACGGGCAAAGGGAGGAGGTAGCACAGGCTCAGCAGGAGGTGAGGAGACCCAGAAAAGAGAGAGAAGAGAATGAAGCAAAAGGGGAGGAAGGAAAAACATAAAGCAAGAAACAAAAAGACGAACAAAGAATAATGGGTCAAAAGGAGGTGATGATCTGTGGGGGTGGGGGGAGAGGACAAAGAAAGGCGGGAAAGAAATCTAGAGAAAAGAGTAGAGGAGACAATGGGTCAGGGGTGAGGAGGAGGAGACAATGGGTCAGGGGTGATCAGAACAAAAGGCAAGGTCCTGAGGAAGGAAAGCGGCAGGCCAGAAAGACGAGGTGGGCCTGTGACAGGAGGGGCCCACAGGAGGTACAGGAGTGACGGCGGCTGGCAGGCTGAGGTGAGCCTTGGATGAGGGCTGTGGCTGGAGGTCCTCATAGGCCCAGAGACGGCTCTGCCTCACCCCCAAGGCATACCCACCCTCTTCGCCTCTTATCCTTCTTACCACACACTCTCTCCACCAAGGGTCTCCCAATTCATAGCAAAGTACAGCTGTCCCTTGCCACTCAGCCAGAAGAGCCACATGCCCCACCCCAGAGCCCCCGGTCTGAGATGGCAGCATTTCAAGTACTTTCCTGAGCTGGGGTCAGGAAAGAGGAAGAGCAATGGGACGATGAAACAATGATGGACTCCGGGAAAAGACCAGAGGAGAAAAGGACAATGCAAATGAAGCAAGGAGCAGAGGCAAGAAAAGTGTGTCTGCTACAAACCAGACACTGAACAGTATCTTTCTCCCTCACATCAAAAATGAAAAGCGGGTCGAGACATCCCATTAAACAGATGCGGAAACTAAGGCTTAGAGTCACACAGCAAGAACATCTACTAAGAATAGGGCTGGATAAGGCTTAAGGGACCCTGGGACAGGAGGTGCTGGCTGAGGAGCCCGGGCTGCCCTCTAGGTTGCCACAGTTACTCTGTTTTCACCCCAAACACAGCAATGGAGAGGGGGGAGCCTGACTGGACACGTGAAGTTCTTTCCCCTCCAGGCCTGGGCTTGTGGCCCAGGTGGCTCCTGTCCAGTCATCCGGGCGTTGAGCCCAGGCCCAGCCCACACCCTCTAGCTGACCCAGGGCACTCCTGAGGGAGTCAGAGGCACTGCTGGACAGGAGCCGCTGGTGGGGATCCCCACAGGTTGAGTGAGATTTGGTCTCTCACTCTTTGTCCTGCTCCCCTTCCTGCTAATCAGAAAGCACAGCCATTTCTGCCAGATCTGCTCTTGTCCTTTTCTTTCAACTGGACCCTAAAGCCTCAGTCTTCTCCAGTTCAAGGCTAAAAAGATGTTCAACATCCAATCCCGTCCCCACGGAACACTACCACTTCTCCATTTCGGCTCCTCCTTTCTGGCGCACAGCCCCGGGGCCCCAGCTCACTCAACTGTTTGTCCTGGAAAGTGCAGCGAGGGAGGGAGAACCTGCTAGA